ATCTTACCAAGTAAAATTTTCTGACTCCACTGGCAGAAAATTTTTACTCATTTTGAGTCAAATTTTCAGACTAACAAGACAAATAATCTTACACATTCTGAAAACAAGATGATTATTCTTACACAATCAGTTCTTGTTTAGTAAATCAGTCTCAAAACAAGATCAAAAAGACTTTTTTTTGGCTGATATAAGATTTTAAAACTTGGTTAGGTGGATATTTTTTGCAGTGAGGACAGCAACACCCACAAAAAGCATAAAACTTCTCAATTTCTGCATTTCATTAAGAAGGAAATACAGAACTCTATATACATGTTAGGATTTTCTTTTAACCCCAAGATTTCACCTCCAAATGGACTTTTCAGAGCTGCAGTGCGCTTGATTTTCCTGCCCTCGCCAAACAGCTGGTACCAAAAACGGCGCAAAAGCTGCGCAAAGGGACCCAGCAGGCACCAGCTGACAGAAGCAAGAAGGTGGAAAGAAGAAATATATTCATTTTAAAAAGTACCTGGTGAGAGAGCTTCGCGCTGAATGGTGCTGGGTGTCCGGGGGTTAGAGGTGGCGTGGCTGCGGCCGGGACAGGGCTCCTGGAGCTGGGAGGACTCGGGATCAAATCTCCGGGACTCCGAGCTCGTCTGGGCGCGCTCTTCCGAACCTGTGCCTGCTGGAAGGGAGAACAAGGATGATGATGATGAGGAGGAGGAGGAGGAGGAGGAGGAGGGACAGAAGTGTGCAGCTGTAGGGGTTAAAGATGAGCTGCTGTACACAGGATGAAAAGGTGCCATCATCAGGATTTTCTGACACAATCCTAATTTTATTCCTCAGATTCCAACACGTTTAATCCGTCAGAAAAAAACGTGGTTCAGGACAATTTTTTTTGCGTAGTTTAAACACAATAACAAATGAGCTTATTCAAGTTTAAAACCTGCCTCTCTTTAAAAAAAAAAAAGCCTTAATCAGATGGAGAGATGCAGTAAGAGATGCGCGCGTCGCTCCAGATGTCTGTTATTGAAACCATAAATTAGAACACAAATCCGTGCAAACTCACTTATACAATTCAGCACGATTAACTACAGGTTTCTATCAAATAGATGCAACCATTGTGACATGATATAAGACACCGAATCAATGCTAGAAAGAAAGAAAAAAGAAACATTAAGAACCACAACTGAAGCTGCTGCGCTCATTTCACAACTTACACTTACGTGGGCGACAGGTTTCATTAACACAAAAAACGCGCTGCTGTTATACATTTTATAATTTAGATTTTTGCGCACTAAAAAAATGGATTCAACAAGAAGAAAAGCAACTGTAAAATAAACACCTACAAACCTACAAAGGTGAGAACTTTTAGAAAAGCAGCCTGCGCCAGCGCGTCCGGACCATCACTTTTCCTGCCTCTGATCGTCTCGTTCATCCAGGAGGAGAGACTGATCTGGGATATTTGTTATATATTTTCTTCTCTTCTCTCTCTTTCTCTCTTCTTTCTTTTTTTTTCTTTTCTTTCTTTTTTTTCTTAGTCTTTGGAGAGTCGGACCCCGAAAGTTAAAAGCAGCAGAGCTCCTGTGCTCGGTGCGTCTCCAGCTCCTCTCTGAACTGGAGGAGAGCGCAGGGTGGAGGCTGGATTTCAAGGCCCAGAGCGCCCCCTTTCTGTCACACACACACACACACACACACACACACACACACACACACACACACACACAC